CCCCCCCCCCTTTCCCTCGCATTGTTGCTCCCCTGGGACCATACCTTGACATGGTTGCACTGCATACACGTCGAGCCTTTGGGTGCTCGTTGTCGTTGTCGCCCCTGCATCGTCCTGCCCGGCTTTTCGACCTCCTTCTCCGCCGGGGCCGCCTCGTGCACGCGCCGTTTGCCTGGGCGTCTCCTTACTTTCCCCACCTCCTTCTTCATCGAGTCTTTGGCCTCCCAAGGGCTGTCGCTACGGCTAATTCCGGCATACGACATGGCCGAAAACGCGGAGTCGGTCGACGGCATCAGCGTGGAGAGAAATGCAGGCGCCATCGAGTAGGGTGGAAGGCAAGCTGTGGCAGCGGTGTCGCTGCGGCCTACTATCCATGGTAGTACTCCTCCTCCATTGCCATCCGTCCCCGACATACGCCTGCAATACGCGTGCAACAATGAGTTTGGAACGCCGTCCAATGAGGGAAAGGAGGGTATGACTTCTTATGAGTTTACTTGCACGGTAGGTGACTTCCTGTTCGAAAGCTGGAAGGCTGACGTCGTGCTTTTTTCTGACAATGTCCCTGTGTGGAGACGACCGCCACACCACGTAACCCTCCATGGTCATTTTTACGCATTTACTAACGTGATCATGCGCATTCACGCCTGGAAACCTGCCAGGACATGCCTTCATGCCATATCAAGGTAGTCTTGTCGGCCCGTTGAAAGCTATCGGGGAATATTTCGCAGGGGGATCGGGGAACTAGCCCAGACCCAGAATATGAATGTCATCTCATGCACCCGTTGGAAACCCCTTCGTGCACCCCACAAGCGTTTATACGTCTGGACATATGCATGTGAAGGTACCTTGACGGTGAACGGTGGGTTTTGGGTTTGGTAGAGGGCGGAATGGAGGGCCAGGGGCGCACGGCGCGTCGGGGAGCGTGCCAACACCTCGGAAAGAGACTTCTCTTTTCTACTTAAGCCTCTCCAAATTATTTAAAAATCCCGCCCTTTGTCTGAATCAACGAGAAGACAACGGAGAGCGAACGAGAGCGGATGCCTTTGGTTTTGGGACGGTGTTCTTCTCTTTGGGTTACCGTCACGTGGTGGGCTTTTGTGGCCACGGTCATTTAAGAAAGGCGACATAAAGCGGAGATTATTATATAAATCTGTTCCGTCCAATATGCCGTGCCCTCGCTCACAAGCCGTGCGGGGAGGTCAAGCGACTGCCTTGGATATTGGGACTTTATCGAATACATGACATCGAATCATTGCCACAGCAAATATCACAGTGGTGTCAACATTATAATTTGCGTGTTGTCAGCTTTGTGGAGGTCTTCCCCACTTAGGTCAATGGCGCAGAGTCATCCGGGGATGGATATCAACAGCTCGAACTCTTCACCGAGGGAAGCGTCGCCGGTCTCTCTCCCCACGCCAATACGCCTTGTGTCCATCTCTCTCTCGTCGGGAATGGATATGAAGGAAAAAACTGAGGATGCCCAGGATGAGGAACCCAAGCAGGAAGGAGGAAAATCTCACGGCGGGGCTATCCCCCTGCAGATAGACGAAGCAGCCGCCCCATCTCCGTCTTCAAAAGCTCGGGCGCAACCGCGACCGTGGTGGCTAAGCATCCTGTTTGTGACCCTATCCTTTATCGTGATCGCTTCCGTCCTTGTGGCCATCATCATGCGGTACCATGAAGGCATTTTGACCGGTAAGGGTCCCGGTGACTTTAATGCGTCTGCCTTCAATCCCCTTGCATCGCTTCCTTACCTTCTCTCATTCCTCTCCCTTCTCCAAAGAAAAACATTCGAAATATTTATAAATCATCCGAAGGTTTTCATTTCGAGTCGATACAGCGTACATGGTCGCTGGGATCGCGCCTGTGTCTGGCCACTGATTTCTCACTCCCTTTCGCTCCCTCCCCCCCTCCCTCCTCCCGTACCTTTCGCAGCCGCCCGCTGGTGTCAGGAGCGACAACCCTGGTCGATAATTTTAAATGGCTGTATCATCGTCGGAGGTATGTCGTGCTCACAAACCATCTTGTCCGCATCCTCCGCCTCCCTCTCTTTTTCTCAACTTTCCCTCCCTTCCTCCCAGTCCTGAGGCCCCCCCCCCATCGCGACCTCTCTTCGCGGCCCATGTT